ATATTTTATCTTTGCCTCTTCAAACTCTGTTGAAGATAAAGAAAAAAATGGTCCAGATGGGTAAGAAACTAGAAAATCTGACACCATATGGCTTCGACCTCGACCTTTGGTAAAGAAAGGTGTACTTTCGTCAATCGTCCATCGTTTTGGTGATATATCACCGCTTCGAAAAGTTGATTCATCATGGTAGGTGATAATACATGGTTTTCCAGCCAACTTGTTCGTCTAGTTCTTGAAGAACAATATTTTATTTACAATTATAAATTATATCGACAAACTGCTGGTAGTGCTTCTGGTTCATCATTGACTATTCCATTAGTCTATATTTATTTATATTATTGGCGACAACATTTATTACAAGATCTTATTAATAAGAACGAACTCATTATCAGGTTATTACTTTACTTTGTTTTTTTTCTTGAAAAACTGATTCTATTTTTATTCACATATATAGATGTCAGGATGAAGCAATCATTACATGGAACAGATCTGAAGATGAACTTCGTACAATACTTGCTACGGCTAATTCGCAATTTCCACAACCCATATGGAATATAACTCATATTGGATCATCCATTCATTTTCGTGATATCGACTTAACTAACGAAAATAGAATTTTTCAAACATGTGTTTATCATGCACGAATGTTCAACGATAAACAATTACTCTCATCATTTCCAGATATTATTCAACCTAAGATAAAACAAGACCCATGGAAATGGCTACGTGCAGCAATGTTAAAAGCCATACGATACTGTTCTGGTCACGACACTTTCCGTGAGGAAATGCTTGAAATCAAATGGCAACTTGAATCATATAAAATACCTAAGGGTATCTTCGATCAAACCCATGATGAAATTCTCCAAGATTTTGGTGTAACGGTTGTCTACCCACCATACACTAGATCTAATTGTGAACTCATGCGTGAACATGTTTTCAACTATGATAGATATCGAAAAGCAAAGAAACAAGCAAGAAAACGAACTAGTATTCCATCTTCCGTATATACCTAACCTCGATGGAAATACAACACACAAAATTGAACAGCAATTTAATACAAAATGGTATGGATATTTGAAACAACATCAAATCATGCCATATTTTTCCATAAAAATCAGCCAAAATCAATCCTTCTTCTACGAAACCATTGCCTGTCTAGTGAAGAAACGGCCAGACCAAAGTTATTTGACTTTGCCCGACGACAACAAAACATCCGCACCCACACCCACACCCACACCCACACCCACACCCACACCCCCACCCACACC